TTTATAAAGGCAACTTTGCCCTGCAACGGTGTCCTAGTCTTACGATGTAGCTTCAGTATGGAAGGTCCTGTTTACGGCTTCGTTTTGGTCTGCTCAACAATGCAGCTCTGCGGTTTGATGCAAGGATGCACCAAGCTAAAAGTTGTCATTGAATTTTTTTTTTTCCTTGTTGGTTGTTGCGAGCTGTTGGTTGTCGCTGCTGTTGCCTTGGAGTGCGTGCCGCTCGTCTTACAAGCGCATGGTCGCAGATTCCAAGACTGCTCTGCTGTCTCTGTTCGTTGGGGCACACTCAAGGAGGGCCTGTCGCACGTCATCAGCTCTTCAACACCAATTTGAGCCACCTTGCAGTGCTGCAGTGTGCTTTACTTCGACCTTCTACGAGTTCTACGAGTTCTACGAGAAATGTAAAGCTGTTGCTCCTTCCTGTCGCTGTCATCGCTGGTCCTGGCACGGTCTCTGTCAGTCGGGCAAGGGCAAAATTCCCGAGCAAAAGCGCGTCAAAGTGTCCCCCGAGTCCTGTGCATCTGCATCAATGTGTGAGTGTGTGTGATGTGCTGATGTGACGTGCTGGGCTGAAGGCTCCCTGTTTCCTTTCCTGTACATTTTGGACGTGGTCTCGTGGTTGCGTGAGTGTACGACAACACGTGACGTGGTCGCTGTCCCGAATCAGCACAAATGTGGTTGCACCAGTTCTCTTTCGTTGTCACCAATCCAAATCGATGCTTTGTATTGGTGTTGTATGTGACGTCTGCCTCATGTCATGCCATAATCACGTCAACGAAAGGAGGCATCTGACCAGACCACATCAACGAAAGCGGAAGGCAAACAAACAATGCCGAGGCACGAACAAACAGCGCACAGATCCACACACGCCTGCACACGCATGCAAAAGCACAGTTAGTCGCGGTCGGGCCTCAAGCGATAGCACTCTTCGCAGCCCACGTCAAAGTTCTCATACCAGCAGCAGTGCTTGCATCTCAGACAGCGGCCTTCGGAGTCATACCCTTGCTGCATCACGTGTGTTGTGTTGTGTTGTGTTGTGTTGTGTGCGGAGGTGAGTAAGACAGTGCAGGAGAAAGAGAACAAGGTGCGAGCAAGCCCCGCATAAGGAGTCGCAAACACAGGGTGAGCAGCGTGTTGTCTGTCACTTTACAGCACACGATGACACACGTCACAGCAGGTTCGATGCCATCGACCAAGCCATCACAAGCCAGCACGCCACAATCCACTCCACGGGTGCTCCCACAACTCAAGGAATACGTACAAGACCCCAGAGCACGATAAACTCAGTGCAAACTCACATTTCTTGCATACTCGAGCGCATACGAGAGTCGGCATCGGCGTCGCTGGTGCTCTGCCTCTTCTGGGCTCAACCCTCTGTGGTCGTACAAGACCGTCACCTCCTTGAAGCGACGCAGCAGCTCCTCGTCGCCTGTCGCCTTGACCTGCTCAAACAGCCTTGCAGTGCGCAGCCCTCCTTTGAGGTCAATCAGCTTGATGCCCGGGAGGCTCAGGAGCGATTTGTAGGCCTCCACTTCAGGCTTGTGGATTCGCAGCCACATCATCTCCACGTTGGCGAGAGCGGGGCGCAGGTCAGCCGGAACATGCCCTTTGGGATACCCCCATATCCCTCTGGCTGTGGCAATGGACTGTGGATCGTCATGCTGCGTGACGTTGTGCAGCAGTTCTTCCCACGACCAAGCGAGCACAACATCCGAATGGTCTGGAGGCACGTCGAGGCGAAAGGTGGCCAGCGCATAATCGATGGCCTCGCGCGCAGCAATCAGGGAGGCTGTGTCGGTCGATGCAATGATGAATATGTGCTCAGTGCTGCAGAATTCCTCATGCTCTTCCAAGTCGTCAACCTCGTCGTCTCCCTGGTGCTGGTGCGGCTGGTGCTGGTGCTGGTGCTGCTGTTGTTGTATCCCTTCCTCTTCCTGCTCTTCCTGCTGTTGATGCTGTTGATGCTCTTGTTTCTGGACCTCGTCCCCTTCCTGCTGCAGCTTGCCGTCGTTGGCTTCTTCAGCGTAGTGAGCCACGTCGGCGAGGATGGCTTGTCGAAGGCCAGCGGAGACCGTCGTCAAGTCCAACAGCAACTTCGGACCCACTGCAGCAAACTCCGTGTCCTTCGTGTACTGCAGCCGGTCCAGGGCGCGGCGGATGGCAGCAGCGACGAGCGCGAAATTCTCGTCATCGTCCTCCAGCTTGAAGTCGCCGTGCATCCCCGCAATGTTGACGGGGATGGCCTGCATGCACATGCGCGCAGCTGCTGGTGGCTCTGCAGAATCTTGCTTGGCAGTGATGCTGTCGCTGTCGCTGCCGCTGCTGTGGCTCGTGCTGTGAACACCACCATCACCACCACCACCAACATCGCTCGCCTTCTCCCCAGACTGAACATCATCACTACCACTGTCGTTGCTGCTGGCGGTGCTGTGCTCACTGCAAGTACTGGTGTTGGTGTCACTGGCGTGTGCAGAGGCAGCGCGTTCGTGGGCGTCATGCACACGTTCACCACCGTCCTCGCCCTTATCGAAGAAGCGGTGCATGTAGAAGTTGAAGTCGTATGAGCCACCGTCCAACATGACGGCGTCGCAGTACGCCTCCATGAGCTCGCTGGTGCACTCTTCTGCCAGCGCAGCCGCCTGCTCACGTGTGACACCTGTGACGGTCAGCACGGTGGGTGATGTCTGCAGGGTGCAGGTGACGTTGCTGGGATCGCTCTGCGCAATGCGCGCCAAAACAGGCGGGCGCCGCACGCAATACTGTCCGCTCCCATGCTCAACGGTGTTGTCGTCGCTGATTTTGTCGAAGGAGAGAATGTGGGTTGTCGAGCTCGTTTGGTGATGCATGCACCTGGTGCGCACACCCTCGCCGTAGGCAACAAACGTGCCGCGCTTTAGGCGCTTTGGGCTGTTGCTTGCTGTGCTTGCGCTTGCTGTGGAGCCTGCATCTTCGCTCTGAGCAGGAGCACCACACCCATCTGCTTGTGGTTGTTGAGCCTGGGTGCGCTCAACGTGCTCCGTGATAGTGATAGCGTCTTCTGTTGGGTGTTCCTCGTGCATCATGCAGTGACGACGGTTGGCTGATGGTGGGCTGGTGGTGGGCTGGGATGGTAGCGCTTCTTGTGTTGGGTAGCGAGTGCTTGTTTGGTGTGGTGTGACACTTGCGCGAAGGCAGCGTGTGACATGAACGAGAGTGCGTCTGCGTGCGTAATAGAGAGGGGGTTGAACGATCAGGGGTGTTACACAACAGGAACGCTTGCCTGGAGCATTGTTGAATATCTTACACAAACCATCATCGATGACGTGTGACAATCATCTCTTCAAATCTTCATCCACGAGCTTTTTGGCATAATGCATGGAAGAGTACTGTGTCCCCATTGTCTTCTATATTGCCACAGAGCGCGCGAGAGCGAGAGAGAGACACCAACACAAGCAGCAAACGACAGCAACAACAACAACAAACAGCAACCCATGCATGGGTCACACCCCATTTCTGCGTGCCTCTTCACACAGTACAACACACACAGACATAGACACACACACACACACAGACATAGACACACACACACGCGCGCGCGCGCACACACACACACACACACACGCACACATGCCCAGCCCACTCATCAACGGTTCGATCGCCTGCTGCCAGCGCTGGTGGCGGTGATGGTCGTGTCGGCCATGGAAGTGGCATCCTCCTCAATGTCGTCATCCCCACCGTCAGCGCCCCTCATATCCGCTGTTGCCCGCCGGAACTTGCTCAGCTTGAACCCCAGCGTGTCCCGCACAGATGCAAACGACTCTTCAAGATCAGGGTACTCCCGCACCAAGTAGTCTGGCGTGCATGACGGTGGATGTTGCAGGTGGTTGTGTGTGCGTGCGTGTATGGTTGTGTTTGTGTGTGTGTGTGTGTGCGTGCGTGCGTGTGTGTGTGTGTGTGTGTGCGTGTATGGTTGTGTGCGTGATGGTTGTGTGTGTGTGTGTGTGTGAGCGGTAGGTTCAAAACGCACCCACAATCATGCACCAAGCACAAAACACCCGTTGCAATCGATACATATGTGTGTGTGTACATTTGGTGTCCATGTGTGAGTGTGTGCGTGTGTCTGATAGCCACCGGATGGACGCCATGACACACACGGCAGTCACAAGCCCTCGTTCTCCGTGCCCTCACCGATGATGGCACCGAGGTGCTGCAGCGTTGTCATCTGCTTGTCGATGCTGCGCTCGTAGCTCGACGCATCCTGCACCGCAATCAACACACGTCAGCATCAGCACAGTGCAGACAACGCAGGTCACACGACAAACACGACGCAGCATCATCACACATGCACGGCCAAGATGGGCAAGGCAGGCACCGACATGCACACACACACACAGTCACACATACATACAAGCACGCAAGCATATGAGGAAACAGGGACATGCTCGTGCGCATGTGCGGCAGCTGCGACGCCACGCCAGCTCGGGGCACACATGTACGTGTATGTGTGTGTGTGTGTGTGTGTGTGCGTGTACCTTGAAGCGGAGCTTGAGGCTGCCCTTGGTGACGGCCTGGTAGTGCTTGAGAGCGGCCTGCGCATCAACAACGTCCTCCAGGTTGTGCATGCGCTGCCGCATCTTCTGCCGCTTCATGGACGCCAGCTCGTCAAGGTGTTGGCGCAGCGCTCGGAACCGCTCCTGCCGTTCCCGCAGCGCGCGGTGCACCTATGGTGGTGGTGGGTGGTGTTGGTGAGACCGGTGGTAGTGTTTTTGGTGATGTTGGTGGTGATGGTGGTGACGGTTGCGGTGGAGTCGGGACACGTGCAGGAGAAAGGAGTCGCCTTGGTTGGTGTGCGCATGTGTGCGTATGTGTGTGCATGTCTGTGTGTGCGTGTCTGTGTGTGCGTGCGCATGTGTGTGTGTATGTGTGTATGCCGACGCCAAGGAAAACCGCATTTGTGTGGTCGCACCTCGTCCTGCCGCTGCTGCTTGAGGTCAATCTCTTCTTCGCACAGACGAATGTCCGACAGCGCCGTCTTCACCCGCTTCTTCAGATCCATCACCTGTTGCGCCCGGTGGCAGTGGCGGTGGAAGTTGAGCGGAGGTAGGGAGTTGTGTGTATGTGTGTGGAGGAGTATGTGTGTGTGTGAGTGGTGAGTGTGTGTGTGTGTGTGTGTGTGAGTGTGCGCGCGTGGGGATGAAAGGCGATATAGTGGTGGCGAGCACAGCGCTGTGGCGCATCAGTACATACAAGCACGCACATTCACGCACACGCACATATACACATGCACGCACACATCTTTCCATGAAAGCACATGTACGCCCGGCCACTAGCCCACTCACAGAACATGCACACATACACACGGCCTCACATACACACACACATACACGCACACGCACGCACACGCACGCACGGACGCACACACACACACACACACACACATAGGTTACCTCCTTGCGGATGCTCTGTGTGTGGTTTGTGCCCTTCTTTGCCTGCAGGCGGGCCTTTGCACCGATGTTTCCGCGGCGGTCGACGCACCGCTCCATCTCCGTAATCAGCTCCTCCTTTTCCTGCAATATCGACTGCAGCTTCAGGTTCATGCGGTGGATCTCAGACCGCATGCCTGCACTACAGCAGCAATGCCATTGACTCCATGATAAGCGCTCAGGCGACAGAGAAGAGACAACAAAGCGCATCAACAAAGGAACGAAAAGCACCCACAACCCCGCCTACGCGCATCCACACACACGCACGCGCGCTCGCACACGGGCAGCGACCGTGCCTGAGCAAGCAACACACCTTCGCCGCCGTGCCTGAGCAAGCAACACACCTTCGCCGCCGGCAGGTGCGATGTCATCACTGTCACATCAGCTGGGGCCGTCCACCATTCCGCTCTGTTTTGATGATTTTTGCGCCAAACAAACAACACTCATCAGCAGGGCAAACAACGCTGTGTCTGTGTCGAGGTGGTCGACAGCACACACGTTCTTGGAGCGAGGTGCGTGGCTGCTTCACACTTACAGTCAGCGTGGGAGGCCGGGCGATGGTTCAGCTGCCACTATGTGTGTCTGTGTATGTGTGTGTGTGTGTGTGTGTCTGCCTGGGTGTGTGTGTCTGTGTGTGTCTGTGTCTGTGTGTGTGTCTGTGTGCCTATGTGGGTGTGTGTGTCTCGCTCTTACCCCTTCATACAAGCTGATGTGATATGATGTGACTGTTGGTGGCTGTTGTGCAGGACACAGGTGTGGCTCACTTGCAAGACAACAGCAATTACATAGCAGCAACATCATCAACAGGGGCTATGGACGTGGCGGAGGAAGATGTCGCAGGCTGGGATGAAGCCATGTTTGTGCACAAGCCGGACAATCTCCTTCGCTGTCCCATCTGCTTGCTGGGCATCCGTGATGCCTCCATGTGTCCATCGCCTGTCTCCGTCGCTCCGTCTCCATCCAACGCAGGTCGGGTGTGTGTGTGTGTGTGTGTGTGTGTGTGTGTGCGTGTGTGTGTCTGTGTGTGTGTGTGTGTTTATCTGTGTGTGTGTTTACCTGTGTGTGTGTGTGTGTGTTTATCTGTGTGTGTGTGTGTGTGTCTGTCTGTCTGTCTGTCTGTCTGCTTGCGTCTTTGTGTCGATGATGTCTCTGCGTGTGCGTGTGTACGAGTATACAGTCTGCTGTGGACGTGCGCGTCCCTGTGCATGTTCTCCCTGGATGTGATTGCGGCTGCCAGATGCCTTCTCATCCTTCCACCTGCTTCGCTCACAACTTTCATGCTCTGGCCATATGGTTCCCTCTTCAACTGCGGTGCAGATGCTGAAATCAAACGGTGGTAACGAGCACGGACAGCATATGTTTGTTCACAGTCAATGGCTATGAAAGCCACAAATGACAACCGTAAGTTCTCACTGGCCCTCCATGCGTCTGCCCGCACATTGTACGCGCTGGAGCGCAAGCGCTTCTCCAGACACACACACTCTCTCTCTTGCCTTGACTTTCCCGACCACTAACGACCACCATCGCGTCTGCCATGTCCAAATCTTTTTTGTTTTGGTTCATCGTCAACTCAGCTCACGGTCGTTACCACCACCACCTCTTACAGCCCACCGCCAGGTTGGACTGCTGCCGCAACCAACCGCGAATCGTGCGCTCGTTCAAATGGACTTGGCATTCACGAGGACAGAGCGACACGCAAGCGCAACTGAGAATGGCAGTCCGTGGCCCTTCCACCTGCTGCTCAACCGACGCAAGTCGCTCTGCTTCGACAGCCACCTGCACACAGCGCAATCGCGACTGCAGCAAAACAGACAGCACAGACAGAGACAGTACAGACAGAGACAGCACAGACAGAGACAGCACAGTGAGCTGAAAAGAAAGTGGGATGCCACACGCTGCTCGCATGTGCATGCAGCATGCATGTTGACCGTGTGTGCAGACAGGCTTGAACCCAAGGCTATTATCAATATGGTCGCGCACACACTCACACACAGACACGCTCACACACACACACACACTCACACACTCACACACACACACACACCTAGTCACACGATCGCATAAGCGTGAGTGGTTTTCAGCCCCCCTGCCGTGGTACTGTGTGCCTCAGACCCCACACCCACCCGTGCTTGCACTCACCCGCGCACACACGCAAGCGCACAAAGTGCTCACACACACACACACACACACACACACACACACACACACACACACACACACACACACACACACACACACACACACACACCATGCTGTCGTTCTTCAACTGGCCGGGCAGCTTTCGACACCAAACAATAAAACCCAGCGGGTCTGAGTGAAGTACAGACACAGGACAGCATATCAAAGGCGCAACAACTCGTACAGCACAGCACGTTGTTTTTGGCGGGAAAACTTTGAGTTTGAATCGGAGCGATGGTTTGAGTAGAGTTCTAGCGCAATGCGGGCCGTCTCGTCTGCGCAAACATCGGCCTTGGCGGTGCTCCGCTGTCGCCCACATGCATACACAGCACCAACGTCCTCCACACCAGCACTGCCGCAACAGCAACGATGGGCTCTGCGGCATCCCTGGTTCCCCTCGCCACGGTCGACACTGAGGACGGTGTGGTTCATGTGGTGCGTGGCTCGCTGCCAGGCATGGTCAAGATCATCCAACGGCACCGCGTCACCTTGATGCGCAAGTCCAATCCTGAGTACAGGAGCGGCGTCAACGTCGGCATTGCCTGCAGCAGAGCCCTGTTCGACAGCAACCGCTTCATCACCGTGCGCGTCCCGCACGAGTTCTTCGTGCGTCGTCATGCCGCTGGAAGCACCTCCACGCTCTTCACCTACCAGCACCACCAGCTCAAGATTGCCTTTTCTGACGTGTTCCCCACGCGCCCTTCAAGGATCTTCGACGCCATACTTGCGGTGGCGCGCGTGCTGACGGTGGAAGATGAGGCTGCCGACGCAGATCCTGCAGACACGTTCCGCCGCCTGCAACAACAACAGCAACAACAGCCGCATCCATGCCGCGATGTCATACTCGGCGTTGCGCTTCACGCCGCCCTAAAAGTGGACAACGTTGCCGACACGAGGGACCTTCTTGGGGAGTACGGCACGCGCCCAGACGAGTACGCAAGCAGTGTCTTGCAGGACATCATTAACAACACGACCAATGAGCAGTTCGAGCAGCTGTTTGTTGACATCGAGACGAAGGAGCAGGATGTGGCTGATATCCTTGCGCGGTGCGCGAAAGCTGCGTTCCACTGTGAAGTGCAACTTGCGCTGCACAAGGAGGCGGGAGACGACGACATCCTGGTCGTAAGCCACTGGCCCGTGTGCCCAAGCTGCACGCACGTGTGCAGCGCACTGGGGGTCACTGCGCTCGGCCTTGAGTGAACATCGTTGCGGGTGCACTGCGGTGAGCAGCACAGGACTACTCGCTCTGTGTTTGTTGCCGTTTTCCTTGGAACGCCAAGTCTCCATCGCCGTCGCCAAGCATTCGTCCGACACCGCAGCTTCGCTCTTTAGCCTGCCTGAAACTTGTTGTGGTTCTTCTGCTTCCTGCTATGTTGTGCTTCGTTGTGTTCCACCGTGCCCCCTTCCTTCTTTGCCATCTCGCCTTCCAGTGTTGGACTTGCACATATAACCCAGCCTTTCAGCATGTGTGGTCTGGAGTTCAATGGCTTGACAGTTTGTTTGATCTGTGTACGCCTGTGCCACGTCGTGTGTGCGTGTGTGAACAATAAACGCTGGTTGTTGTGATGCGATGTGAACAGCTCTCAGTCACCACGAACATGACCCGTGTGGGGGCAATTGAAGGACGTGCGGCATGAGCATGACCGCACAAGCGCTTGAGTGCTGGTGTTGTAATTGTGAATAACGTCTGCCTCATGTCGCCATAATCACGTCAACGAAAGGAGGCATCTGACCAGACCACATCAACGAAAGCGGGAGGCAAACAAACAATGCCGAGGCACGAACAAACAGCGCACAGACCCACACACGCCTGCACACGCATGCAAAAGCACAGTTAGTCGCGGTCGGGCCTCAAGCGATAGCACTCTTCGCAGCCTATGTAATAGTCTCCATAACACAAGAAAGGCTGGCATTTCAGACAGCGGCCTTCGGAGTCGTACCCTTGCTGCATCACGTGTGTTGTGTTGTGTTGTGTTGTGTTGTGTTGTGTTGTGTTGTGTTGTGTGCGGAGGTAAGTAAGACAGTGCAGGAGAAAGAGAACAAGGTGCGAGCAAGCCCCGCATAAAGGAGTCGCAAACACAGGGTGAGCAGCGTGTTGTCTGTCACTTTACAGCACACGATCACACACGTCACAGGAGGTTCGATGCCATCGACCAAGCCATCACAGCCAGCGCGCCACAATCCACTCCACGGGGGCTCCCATAACTCAGGAATACTACCAGACCCAAGAAGACGATAACTCAGTGCAACTCACTTTTCTTGGATACTCGAACGAATACGAGAGTCGGCAGCGGCGCCCCGTCGTCTGCCTCTTCGGAGCTCACCCATTGCGACCGACCAGACCGCACTTCGTGAAG